ACAACCTAGACGTGAACATGACTCTTGCATTAAGCACTTGACCTGCCTTGCAAAAGAGCCAAGTTTCCACTTTCCTGTGCTGGGCTCATCCATCCCGACCAGCAAGTCCATCCACAAAACCCATCTAGGAGCAGAGTTGTCCACATGAGAAAGTAAGAACAAGCAGACTAGGGAGCTTCACCTGAGCAGTTCCACGAGGAGAGAAAGTAGTTTTGCTTCAGGACGCAAAGGAGAAGGAAGGGAGGTGCTGGTTTTCCGTTGTCAATCTTGCCTAGCCAAAGAAAGGGTTCTCTGAGAATTAGGTGGGAAGCAAAAGACCAAAACCACCTCCAGCTGCTCAGGTTTCTGTTTCTAGTTTTGCCACAGGCTACAAGTGGAAAGCGCTGAAGAATTGCTCTGATTAAGACCAAAATATTTGCTAACCAGCAAGCTGGGCCCACGTTAAAACACTCCAAGGCATTTGGACATGCAGCTTGAAGAAAACAAAGTCATAAAAGCCCTGTCCAGAGCTCTTAAAACTGTGACTGGCTTCCAACCCTCATAAAGTCTGCATAGAGCTTTGTGACTGGATTCTAGGCTTCCCTGGCAGCTCTTTGAACAGGGCTGCGGGTTCCTGGCCCGCTGCGAGCCCTGGTCCGGACCGATGGTGCATCCTTCGCGCTCCTGCTTGTGCCACCAACGCACAGCGCTGGGCGCAGGGGGAGGCTCTTCCCCTTCCGCCTCCCACCCACGGACCTGGGGCTATTAATAAACGGGTTAAATGAGCGTTTTCCCCTTGCTCCCACTACCAAACAAACGAGCTTTACAAATACTACCCCAAAAATGGGGTGGATCTGGCAAGCTGCAAGTCAAGCCCCGTGCTGTCAGCAGGGTGAATGCACTGCCTTTCTCCGTGTGACAGAGCCTCGTGTCTTTGTTGTCACGGGGACTTTCTTGCTGTGAATGGTGACTATCTTTCCCTTTTACCTAGCGTGAGAAGGGCCACCGCATGCAACAACGGGGTGAGTCACCTAGCCGCCCAAATCTAACGTGTGAAGTGAAAACCCAGTAAGAGTGATGGCCGAATTTACGGCTTCAGGAAATGTCTCCAATGCTTTGGTTTTTGTGGAGCATCAGAGCAAACATGCGTTACGTAAACAGATCTGGTTGCACAACTCGCTTCTCTGTGTCATTAACATCGTGTCCGCTTGTTTGCATGGAGCGCTCGGTCCGACGCCTCCCCTCCTCCAAGAGATCCTAGCAGGATCCTGAAAGGGAGCAGGCGTGGGCAGGCACCTGGATGTGGCGTGGAAGCAGCGGGCACGTCTGGCATAGCGCTGAGCCCGTGCCAGAGGGGATTTGCTTCTGGCTCCTGCAAACCCACTGGAGGTCAACACGCTCACCGGGTTAATGGCATTTGACTCCAAGTATTTACTTCCACTGTAATAAAGTGGCGGCAGGGAGTGCAGATGCCTCTCCTGGTAGCCGGGACTCTGCCCATGGCTCCTCCAGAAAGCACAAAACCATCTTTGTGGCGGGTTTGTCCCAGCTATGGGACGGGCACGTGCTCCAAAGCTGCTTTGAAGTAGCTGTCCTTGAGCAGGGAGGCTCAAACAAAACGTATACATACATGGTTTCAAGCAGCTGTGAGAAATAAGGTGAGCTTTTTTTTGTTGTTATTCCCCCAGGCATAATTTTTAATACACAGTGTGACTAAAATTAGGAGCCTTCTCCTCTATAGCTAACTCAGAAGAGGTTTCCTAGCTTTCTCATCACACCAAGATGCATTCTGCATTTTCTATTTACGGACACAGGATTGGAGAGCTTTTTTGTTCAAGTGTGTAGTGAAATTGTAATTACGAGCTTAGCAAGGAGCTTCTTGGGAGTCCCAAGACATTGCAAGTGCCCTTTCAGAAAGCCGGCACAGTTTACACGGGACGGTTTGCAGCGGGAGGCAGACTCGTGCCCAGCCCGTGCTCAGAATGCCCAGCACGCACCCGTCAGGCACAGGAGGTTTTGGTCTCTCTGGTGCTTTGCCCTTGGCTTCCTGCTCAGAGCTGCCTCTGAGCCTTGTCTGCCAGAAAGGCATGAAATGAAGTAACTCACAGGCCCGCTGTCCTTGCGCTCCGCAGTCCCTGCGGACCAGGAACCGCTGCTGTCGCTCATCCGGCCTCTGCTTGAGCTGAGTTCCAGGGAACCGGGTTTTCAGGCTCGGAGGAAGTTCTCTCTTTCACCTGCTTTTTAAGAAATACAACATTAAAGAGAGGGAGGAGCCAGCTCCCCAACTGCCTTCACATTTTGCTGTAGTAGCTCTTAACAAACTTCTCTCTTTCACCTGCTTTTTAAAAAAATACAACATTAAAGAGAGTGAGGAGCCAGCTCCCCAACCGCTTTCACATTTTGCTGTAGTAGCTCTTAACAACAGTGACCTGCAGAGTAGTCAAAACAAGAGAAAATGACAGAAAACAAAAAGAGGTATCCAGCCCCGCCTCCACCAAGCTGCTTCACAAAGTTGCATTTTCACATTTAAACTAAAATAATAATAATAAATAAATATAAAGGATGAACCAGCAACATTTTCAATTTCCTACCTGACAGCTGTCCCACCAGCTTCCACATACAGCATATTCATGTCTCACTTCTTCATAATGAGAGTGATATTGTTATTAAAAAAAAAAAATCAAACTGTCTGAAAGCGCTGGATGCTGAATAAAGTTAATTCTATTTTTATTGTTTGATAACACTGTGATAATACGAACTGTATAAAGCATAACAAAATATATTCATAAAACAGAGAGGACAGGTATTGTAAAATATAAAATACAAATATTATCATGTTAACCAAAAGGAAAAAAGTAGTGAAAAGAAAACAGTACAATAAAAGAACTGTACCAGTATCTTCTTGTATCCAAACATCTATTGTAAATGTTTAAATTATGCAGCACTGAGATAAGTTACTTTTATTTTCTCTCTTGATTTTAAACATGCTCTAATTCAGTGATAAAACCTATTAATCAATATAGGAAATGTTATTAATCACCTAACTTTCCATGTCGATTTAAGGAGGGATGGTGCAATGACTATTACAAGAAATGCATTATAACTGCTTCCCTTCCCATGGGCATGCAGGTTTTAGCAACTGAAAATAGCTCAGCAATTGAGACTGAAAGGAGCAGCCCTTGCATTAACAATAAACTCTTTGATGAACAGGTAGCTATTGTAAAAATCATTTGCTATAAGATTATCACACAAAAATCAATCAGGTGTTTGTCCTTATGCAGCAGCCTGGCGTTTGCTGCACCCGCTGTCTCTGCCTTGATGCCGACTGCCTTGTTGAGGAGGCCGAGAGCCGAGCGCTACCAGCGGCGCCAGAAACCTGGAGCCCCAAATGTCCCTTAAAGCGCTTGCAAAGAAGCCCTCCTGGCTTGTGACTGTGCAAATAATCCTCGCCCCGGCAAACACCCCTGCATCAGCTCTCCCAGTTACTCGGCCATTGCCATGTTCCCTGTCAAACACCACCAACAAAAGCAGCAAACTACCAATCGCCAGGATTTGGCTGAGAATCGACTCCTTGTATTTGTAAAAAGAAAGAAAGAAAGAAAGAAAAGAAAAGAAAAAAGAAATAAGCTCTCCACATCTTAAACTCTCAAGTTTTCTTGCATCTGGTCCCTGTCGGTCCAGGGCACCATCAGCAACTTTGCTCTTTTCTTCTTTTTCCCGTTGCACCCTTGGTGCTTCTGTTACTTCCAAACAGGAAGGCTCTGGAGGCAGAACCGCAGTTGCCCACCAGGAAGATTTTCAGCACTTGTTCGGATGGTACTAAAATTGTCTACGCACAATCTTTCCAAAATCTAAGTAGCAAAAATATATTTCAAATATAACCCTTAGCACATGAACTACTTCACATTCTCACCTAGGAGCACTTACCTCTCCCTAGGAAACATTGCCACTGTCCCTTTGCAGAAATGTATTGGTTCTCAACATGAGCAAATGCTAAACGATTCTTAACTTATTTTAAAGCAATTTGGTCAGACACTAGCAATTATTTGATACACAGGTACTACCAGCTCAAAGCTCAAGCAATGTAAAATGAGGGGGAAAAAATGTAAGAGATTGGTTTATTATTTTTAGTGAATGAATACATATATTATTAAAGAGTAGTAAAGCAGACTAATTTTGGCAGAAGTATTTGAGATGAAAAGATTCAAAATCAGATCCCCACTGGCCACTTGAGGAACCTACTCATAATGCTATCAAAAATGTATAAACCCCATTTCTTTACACATTTATTATCAAAAAATAGTGTGTGTATACGCGCTTTTAAGAGACACTTGAGAGAGAAGAAAAGCAACATTTGAAGCACCGCTTGATTATGGTGTTTTGGCAAGGCCAGTACAGCCAGTGGCTATTAGTGATCAAAATCCCTTCCAGTACAAGGAATCAACCATAACAGTGCAGGTGAGCAGCTAAGTAACACCATATATTAGGGTGCTGCTATTGCCTAGCAGTAGTTGTCAATTATGGACTTTTCAACCAAAGTCAAATTACAATGTCTCATTTGCACAAAGTGGAGTGAGATCCAGACCCAAGTCCAGCCATATATCTATATGGTCTATATTATTGAAGTTTTATTCTATTGTGTTTCAATTCTCATCACACATTTAAAGACACATCCAATTTATATCAATGAAAATAAGAAAATGGCCTCAACAGGGAGAAACCAGCATTACAATTCTGTAAAAGCAAAAGTGCAACCCTCCCTGCCACCACTACAACCCAAATGGTTCTACAGCCAAGACAAGCTAACTCCAAAGTTTTTAAAGGGGAATGATCCACACACTGAAATGTTTTCAATTTTTAGGTTAAAAGTAGGTAGTATAAAATAATATTGAAACTTGAAAATGAACAAGAAACGTTTTCCATGAGTTCTGCACAGCCCTTTTCAAGAGTAGCAATGCTCTTTGTAATGCCTTTTCATCTCCAGTTATAAAGATAACAGCCAGGCTCTTCAAGAGTGGGACGTGCAGCACGTGCTCTACGTGTGGTTGTTGTTATTGAGGTTGCTTTTGTTAAAGAACCTCCTTGCTTCAACGTTGCTGAGAGACACCGAGCAGCGAGATGGGTTCTCCTTCCTATATTCAATGCTTTCCACCATAGCTTGCTTGATCGCCTGGAAAACAGTTGAGCATCGTGTCACGCAGAGCAAGGACCAACATTTTTATGATTTCTTAGTTGGCAGCAAAGATCCCATCAGGTTGAAACAAATTATTAAGGGAAAACTACAGTAGCCCCCTGCAGCTTTGGTGTCCCCACTTCTCGCCTTTAACTCCCCAGACACTTAAAGCCCCTTCCCGTCTGGCGTACGTACATCGATGTTGTTGAGGGTGTTGAACTCCATCAGGTCATGCAGCCTCCTGAAAGCCTCATTGGGATACTGGAAGTTGAACGTAGAGAACGGTGAATTAGGATCATCAAAAATATCAAAGTCTGCAAAATCCTTCTCCTCCTGTGTTTCTCTTGGGACACCTGCATACAGAAGAAATACAAAATGTATTATTTATTTTGAAAAAAAAAACAAATTTTAAAAATGAGGATCGTCTCACTTTCAGTGGACCTTTAGAAATTCACGATCTCTATAGACAGGCTTAGGAGATATGTCAGGAACAACAACAACAAAAAAAACAGTATGTAGTGACTGATACGTTGATACAAAGCTTCAAAGGAGCAACGAGATTTAGCATCAGAAAGGGTTTGCTCACCTGGAGCTTTGTATTTGCGGAAGTTGATGTTTGCCAGAACAAAATGGATGATAGTTGGGCAGTCCTTCTCTGAAGAGGGATCCTTTGGCTTGAAAACATAGCACTCTTTCAAGCCCTCTCGGTCAAACACATTGGGATCTATTTTGGGGAAAGGAAGCTTGTTCATTTTGGCCCATTTTTCCGCAAGCAAAATTTCCTGGAAAGATAATAAAGTTTGAGATGATTAAAAGCATCCAGTGTGAAGTGGGATTTCACCTGGACAGAAACAGGACAAAGAAATTAGGGATAATAGGAGCAAGTTTACTAAGTCGCTTTTTTCTTGCAAAAGTCAGTCTCTGCATATAAGGCAGCAAAACATCCTTATTTTTTTTCTTATTTTTTTCTTGTTTTTTCTTTAAACAGTAGATTTTCTGTCGCAGATCCCTCTTGGCATGTGTATTCTTTGCAGCTTCCAGGAGTTAGGTAATTTTAGGGATGGGAGCCTCCCTTAAAGTCTGCTACATTCCATTTGCAGCTTAAAAACGAATCTCTTAGATTTTCTAAGTAATAACTCTGAGTTTACTTCAGTGACAACAGGGCTCACTCAGAAGCACATTTTGTGCCCTGAGACTCTATGGAGGGAAGAGACTTTGATGCAAAACCTGATCCTATGGGTCATGCCCACACAAACCCAGCAGGACTGTGTAGGGCTCTGTAACTGTCACTCACCGTATTTATGATAGCTGGGGCTTTACAGGTAGAAATGGGCACCTAATTGAGCCTGCCCAATCTTCTCCACCTGGGATGATTCACAGGAAGCAAAGAGTTGGGCTGTCACGTAAATCTTGGGGTGAATTTACAGAGCTGACAGCTAGGGAAAAAACCACCCGCAATTTGCCTTGCAAACGGAGGAGCAGCGCTATGGAAACGGAGGCGAGTTGATAAACACGGCAGGGCCGCGGTCACGCTCGGAGCCACAGCACGGCACAGAGCGGCGCGCGGAGCGGGGCCGGCGCGCACTCAAAGCTGCACGAGAGGCAGCCGGCAAGGGCAGCGCCCGGAGCTCCCTGGGCAAGGGAACACGACCCTCCTTTGGGCAACTGTGCTGGAAACGCAGGAGATTAAGAGACAGTGGGTGGCAAGTGATAAAACAAGCAAGGACCCATTGCCTTCAGCTGGGCCATCCGTGCTGCGGTCACAAGCCTGTTTTAGAGCCCGGCGGTGGCCACGGGCCAGCTCTCGGACAGGTATTTGATCCTGTCCTAAGTAGAATGGGACTGTTAAATGAACAGAAAGCTGAAGGGATGAGCAGGCTGTGGGACTCAGCCAGAAAAGATAAAACTTAAGGACTGGAGCAGCTCTGGCTTATCCTCCCTAGTGCATCCCTCACAGATAGCCCCAAATAACCTCAGCGATGCCAAGAGCTACTCCCTTGCATTTTGCTGAAGCCTGTTTTCCTCTGCATTGGACCCAGGCACAGAGTTCACTTCACTTCCACCGCCTCTTACATTGCTTTGGATTTTTGCCCCTTTGGAGCGAGAGGAAGGACAAACTGGCCATTATTTGATTTTTCTACCTGAAATTTGACAGCAAAGTCACAGAGAAGGCCAGATGGTTTCTCAAACGGCTACATTTCCTTGATCTACTTCAAAATTATTCTTTAAAACTCACTTGACTGTCCAATAAAAGTTGCCTCTGAGCACCCCACCACGGTTGTGCAAGTGCTGCTGGCCTCGCGCCAGCTCCCGTCCCCATCCAACGCGCACCGTTCTCGGAGCAGCCGGAGCTGCGTGGGTGTGTGGCCCGGACAGGTTGCACCGCTCGGCAGCTGCGCCGTCCACACCCAGCACACCACGTATCCGCGGCACCTCATCTGCGTTTTGGTATATTGACTTTCTGCTGGCCTGGATGGACTTAGGAACCCTACCCAAACCAGTCCTGGGCTTGCCCTAGTGAGATGTGATTGAACAGTTAAGTATCACTTCCGAAACATTACATATTGGGCAGTTTCGCTTTGAAAATTTTATATATTTAGCAATTCTGGACACGTTTCTGGTAGATGACAAAGTCATGCATTTACATCATACAGCTGTACAAGCTGGAGCACCGGACCTGCTGGTTCACATCCGAGCTCTTCCACTCATTCCCACTACTAACGCTCACGGAATTTAATTTGTAGAATTCTTTTGGTGTCAACTACGCATCAACCGTTTCACATCGTTACAGAACTATGAAACTGGGATTTGGGCCGTTTTCACTCTGTCATGGTGCGGGGATTACACAGGGAACGAAAGCTGGCACACACTCCTATCATCTTCCTGAGCCAAAGCTACCAACCTTCAGCTCCTGCATGTATTCACATGCAAACGGTCTGATTTTCCTTTATGAATTCTGCTCCTGTCTATTCCAGACTGAAAGAGGCTGAAAATCCTTGGACACACAGTGTTGTGCAGAAGAGGGCTGTGCCACACTGGGGGTGGTACCTGCTGTAGTTCTTACCTGTCACCCCACCTTCCCAGCTGGGCAAATCTCTGCAGAGAAGGTTTAAACAGAACATCTGATGACTTTTAAAAGACACCATTTAATCCATTTCACAGATTTCCTTTACCTACCTTCCTTTACCATCATCATCACTGTTATCATTTCATCTAGATAGGCTATTAATATCTGAGGCATATCGCTAGATTTTTTTTTCACTAATTTAATGCAAGTTGACTGAAATCTTATTAATATGGTAGTTTTAAAATTAATAGGGCCAGGATTTATGCCTGGTGCCAAATATGCACTCAATGCATAACACCACCTGTACTAATTCATCCATAAGACATGGAAATGCTTCCTTCTTAGAGCAGGGAGAATTGTTAAGATTTCTGATTATAAAAGAAAGCACTCATTTTTGGTGGACAGTTTCTAAAGGAGACTGATCTGGATTCTCAGATTTTCCACTGACCTCAGTGACAGGTAAATTAAGTCCCCAGTGTGCAAACTTATTGTGGATATCTATTTGATTTTAAGAATATATGTCAGGAAACAAGAACAGCAAGGAATGCAAAAAATACCTAAAGTATGGCAGAATATTTTATATAAAAGCTCAAAGAAATACTTATGAAACTGCTATAATAAAAAGCCTCTTAAGAGGAATATATTCTTGTGACCTGTAATCATTTCTTCATTGAAATATTTATCAATTCTTCATGCAGTGAAAACTCTTACATTCATGTTAGACTTTCAATAAGCCATTTGGTTACTGAAAATCCTCAGTCTCAATTTCAGAGAAGAAATCATTTACACACGTGCTGGGAATTAAACTCCGATCACTTCTGAACTGCAGAAAGAAACTGAGAAACTTCTTAAAATTTTAAATGTATTTTCATTATTGTGCTGTATTATGAGATGTGATCACAGTAGGTGATGGAGGTCAGTATGTGACCACTAGATATTTTAAAAAGTAACAGAGAAAGATTTCACCGCTTCTACATTAAAAAAAAAAAGAACAACTGTATGGAATTGGAGTAGCAGTCTAATGCATTCCCTTACCCATAATGGGCTTTAGGAAACAAATAAGATTATTTTTCTTCTATATTTCATCTTACTGTTTCTTTCCGTTAACGCATTTTATAAAGTAACAGTAAATGACTCAATTGTTTAATATCGTCATAAAATCAAATTCTGCAATTCATGGTTGAAGGCAAGATTTCCATAAAAAAACAATACAGATATTACTTCAAACAGTGGTTTACTGAGCCCCAAATTATATTTGCCTTCTTTGTGTCAGTTGTCTCATGTGAGTCATGTAAACAGGAACTGAGACAGGGTGGAATATTTTGCCTTGACGTGGAAACAAGTTGCTCCAAAGCTGTAGACACAATAGTATTGCAGATACCCTTTAGAAATCATTAAAATTTGCAGCTGATCTCCCTGGAAGATTAAAATCTTAAATTTATAAACATGAACAGAAGGGATAGTCTATCTTACTTTGAAAGGAGGACTGGAATCACTTGGCCTTGCTGAGAAATCAAAGGAGATGATGAGATCAACCCCTCTTTGAGGTCTTAAGATCAATGGGTAGGGCAGGTTAAATGTAAGCCCGCTGTCCACTATGTGAATCTTCTTGCTCTTCACATCTAGGGGCTCATATATCCTCTCAAATTCATCAGGATCTGCACAGAACAAATGAAAACAACATATAGAACACAACAGTTACGAACTGCCGTTTTGATGAGCCCAACGTTTCAAGCATTTTCCAAGATTTTGCAGATTCAACCTGGACAGGGCTCCAGCTAAGCACCCTGCAGCTCCTGGGTAATGCAAACCCTAGGCTCAGGGAGTGAAGAATAAAAGAGCCAGGTCCAGGAGGCACCAAGCACAAGGGAGGGTGTTTATGTAGGGGAAGAGGAGGAGATGCTTTCTGTAGGTGAATGGGAATCACGATGGGAACATACACCACAGAAGCAAGAAATGAGAGCACTGACACCAGGTGTGAGGAGGTTCCCTCGCAAAGCCCGCTCCTTCCCACCTCCTCTTCCCTAGGCAGTGACAAGTTGCCTCCAAGCCTTGACGTGGTCCTTCGCCTCTGTCTCTGTAGTACAGATAGGACCAACGAGACAAACCAGGTGCTTTCAACCTATTCCACGTCTCACAACCTCCTTATTTCTTACAGTTTAAGCAAACAGTAACCCAGAGGCATATTTGAAATTTAAGAATCAGACATAATTCAATTTAGGCTACTTAGCTCTCATTACCGTCACAGTATAGCATAAAACAGTTTCCCTATCTCTACCAGCCAACCTGATGGACAAAGATGATGATGAACAGCCGGTGCCGTTTGGGAAGGGACGAGCAATTCTCATGTATCCAACTCTTTGCCCATGGCTCGGTGATCCCTGCAGTAATAAAACTTTTCTCTGACAATCTTTTCTTGCTCTGGCTCTTAAAGCTATTTCCAGTGTGTGTTTCTGGTTTTGAGTAAGAACCCATGTTGCTATCTGCAGAGGGCAGTGTAATCTAAGGAATGCTGAACAGAAGCGCATACAGAACTGCCTGTGATATTTAATTTCTCAATATCGATCTCTTGGCACAAGGTAATCTGAAAAAAGATATCTTAATGCAAAGAAAATCTATCAAGATTAATTCAAACCCAAGTTCCTAAGAGCAGCTTTCCTCCTGCATTTCAGGATATGTGAGGACAGCATGCCAAGAAACAATGCACCACTTCCTTAATTTTTGCCCTGATTTCTAAGGTAGAAAACACTATTCAATCACTGTCAATAATTTAAGAGCTAAACCTTGTTTAGATACCTATAAGTAGATCTATTTCATAATCATAAGTTAGAATATAAGTATATTTATGTTGAAGTCAACAGAGTCAAAAATCCAAAATTACTGTTAAAAAACATACCGACTATATATATATATATATATATATATAAAAGCATTTTCTCTGTTCACTAACTTCTCTTTCAACTTGGGAAAGAGAAGGGATTTTTGTCCCTTCTTGTTTAAAGTTAGGATTTCAAACCCCACACAACTCGTTGTTCATTTTGCTCTCAAAGGAATTCTTAAAAATTGCCAAAACATTCTTCAGTCTAGTTTCATACTAGCTTCTTTTATAAAATTTCAGACTGATGCCAAAACAAAGTTATCAGTGATGCTTTAAGCAAGACTTGTACCAGCTGGAATAATGTTTGCTATTAGCAATAATATTGCTAATAAAATATCTCATTAAAATCTTAGTAACACTGTCCAAACTGCATCAAAAAGGCAGGGAGAAATAAGCATTCCCGCGCTTACAACTTTTGTAATTTGATCACCAATTTTATCATTATAATTTTAACATACTTTACCTGATTATGTACCAGAATATTATCAATACATTTTTCATTAGCACAGAGCATTTTTAAAAGTGATGGAAAAGTACTGGAAAGATTCAGCTTGCGTCTTGTTGTTATAACTCTTTGCAAAAGAGTATTCCCAATCTTCAGATCAAGGAGAAAAGTTCCCAACTGCAACTTACGTGCAGGTCACAGGGTCACAACTCAAAAAGCAAACTGAAATAATCTCCTGTTTGTTTGTTTGTTTATTTTAATGCCATGACTTTTAAGGCAGACTGAGCATTTCATCTGATCTGATTTACACTGGGGCAGGAGCAAGAGGCCGGTCTGCAGGTAAAACACAGCTCTGCTGCGAGAGGGGTAACATATAACAAGTATCTCCACAACAGGCTCAGTTTTATTTCCAAACACTTCTCGTTGCAGCCGACGGCTTCAATGAAAGTAGTAGGGATGAAAAGGGCATTTGTGGCTGACGTGCATCTCCTGTAACAGACTTTCCATAAATACTGAAATGAGAAAGCCAAGGCTATGAGGGGTTTTTTCCCTATTGTTATTCACTTGGCATCTTCTCAAGCGACTTTGGTGTGTTGTAATGTCGAGGCACAGAAACAACAACTCGCAATGAGCAATGAAATCATTCGGGGGTGTAAACGTTTAAGAGCTTATTTGAGCTCAATTAAGAAAATGGTCCATAAAAACAGCATCCATAAGCAAATTAAACCCAGCTATTTCGAACATATGCCAGGAGGATCAGTGAGCTAGTACTGAAGAGCTAAGATCCGCAAGCTAAGAGAGAGCACATATAAAAAGGACCACAAAAAAGAAGAAAAAAGAAA